CACTGTCGGCTCCATCATCCGAGGAGATTGGAGATTTTTTCTTTTCGGACTTTGCTGAAATTTTATTTTCGAATGAGAATCCCGTTCTGGCAACGTCCCCGGAGCTCAAAATTTCCCCAGCACAATGGTGAGCTTTGTGCGTGCTCAAGAGTTATGACTTCGAACTAAGTTCAGCTCACCGCCCCCCGCAGAGATCGGGACGGGCGTACCATGTGTCTTTCAGTGACATAGCGATTCTGAATGTTAGTGAAATATAGTAGGTTGATCGGAAAATTTCCCGTTCTCGATTCGTTCAATCCAGATGGCTATTCCGGCTTATACCTGCGTATATCTTGCCATGGGCTCGTGGAAGGTTCGATTGGCTCATGGTCATCCGCCATGCTTTTGGAAACCACAACACCCCTCTGATCCTGGCCACAGCATGCACCTCCGCAACTGCCTTCCGATTCACGCTTGAAAGGTAGTCATTTCATTTTCGAACTCCTTACCTTTGTGCGACGATGGAGGTTTTGCTGGTCCTAAACCCATCCACGGTTTCCAGCCAGGAATCCATCCACCACTGTCAGCTCCATCGTCCGAGGAGATTGAAGACTTTTTCTTTTCGGACTCTGCTGAAATTTTATTCTCGAATGAGAATCCCGTTCTGGCAACGTCCCCGGAGCTCAAAATTTCCCCAGCACAATGGTGAGCTTTGTGCGTGCTCAAGAGTTATGACTTCGAACTAAGTTCAGCTCACCGCCCCCCGCAGAGATCGGGACGGGCGTACCATGTGTCTTTCAGTGACATAGCGATTCTGAATGTTAGTGAAATATAGTAGGTTGATCGGAAAATTTCCCGTTCTCGATTCGTTCAATCCAGATGGCTATTCCGGCTTATACCTGCGTATATCTTGCCATGGGCTCGTGGAAGGTTCGATTGGCTCATGGTCATCCGCCATGCTTTTGGAAACCACAACACCCCTCTGATCCTGGCCACAGCATGCACCTCCGCAACTGCCTTCCGATTCACGCGTGAAAGGTAGTCATTTCATTTTTGAACTCCTTACCTTTGTGCGACGATGGAGGTTCTGCTGGTCCTACACCCATCCACGGTTTCCAGCCAGGAATCCATCCACCACTGTCAGCTCCATCGTCCGAGGAGATTGAAGACTTTTTCTTTTCGGACTCTGCTGAAATTTTATTCTCGAATGAGAATCCCGTTCTGGCAACGTCCCCGGAGCTCAAAATTTCCCCAGCACAATGGTGAGCTTTGTGCGTGCTCAAGAGTTATGACTTCGAACTAAGTTCAGCTCACCCCCCCCCGCCCGCAGAGATCGGGACGGGCGTACCATGTGTCTTTCAGTGACATAGCGATTCTGAATGATAGTGAAATATAGTAGGTTGGTCGGAAAATTTCCCGTTCTCGATTCGTTCAATCCAGATGGCTATTCCGGCTTATACCTGCGTATATCTTGCCATGGGCTCGTGGAAGGTTCGATTGGCTCATGGTCATCCGCCATGCTTTTGGAAACCACAACACCCCTCTGATCCTGGCCACAGCATGCACCTCCGCAACTGCCTTCCGATTCACGCGTGAAAGGTAGTCATTTCATTTTTGAACTCCTTACCTTTGTGCGACGATGGAGGTTCTGCTGGTCCTACACCCATCCACGGTTTCCAGCCAGGAATCCATCCACCACTGTCGGCTCCATCATCCGAGGAGATTGGAGATTTTTTCTTTTCGGACTTTGCTGAAATTTTATTTTCGAATGAGAATCCCGTTCTGGCAACGTCCCCGGAGCTCAAAATTTCCCCAGCACAATGGTGAGCTTTGTGCGTGCTTAAAAGTTATGACTTCGAACTATGTTCAGCTCACCCCCCCCCCGCCCGCAGAGATCGGGACGGGCGTACCATGTGTCTTTCAGTGACATAGCGATTCTGAATGTTAGTGAAATATAGTAGGTTGGTCGGAAAATTTCCCGTTCTCGATTCGTTCAATCCAGATGGCTATTCCGGCTTATACCTGCGTATATCTTGCCATGGGCTCGTGGAAGGTTCGATTGGCTCATGGTCATCCGCCATGCTTTTGGAAACCACAACACCCCTCTGATCCTGGCCACAGCATGCACCTCCGCAACTGCCTTCCGATTCACGCGTGAAAGGTAGTCATTTCATTTTCGAACTCCTCACCTTTGTGCCACCATGGAGGGGCTGCTGGTCCAATGCCCATCCACGGTTTCCAACCAGGAATCCATCCACCACTGTCGGCTCCATCATCCGAGGAGATTGGAGATTTTTTCTTTTCGGACTTTGCTGAAATTTTATTTTCGAATGAGAATCCCGTTCTGGCAACGTCCCCGGAGCTCAAAATTTCCCCAGCACAATGGTGAGCTTTGTGCGTGCTTAAAAGTTATGACTTCGAACTATGTTCAGCTCACCCCCCCCCGCCCGCAGAGATCGGGACGGGCGTACCATGTGTCTTTCAGTGACATAGCGATTCTGAATGATAGTGAAATATAGTAGGTTGGTCGGAAAATTTCCCGTTCTCGATTCGTTCAATCCAGATGGCTATTCCGGCTTATACCTGCGTATATCTTGCCATGGGCTCGTGGAAGGTTCGATTGGCTCATGGTCATCCGCCATGCTTTTGGAAACCACAACACCCCTCTGATCCTGGCCACAGCATGCACCTCCGCAACTGCCTTCCGATTCACGCGTGAAAGGTAGTCATTTCATTTTCGAACTCCTTACCTTTGCACGACGATTTAGGGGCTGCTGGTCCTACACCCATCCACGGTTTCCAGCCAGGAATCCATCCACCACTGTCAGCTCCATCATCCGAGGAGATTGGAGATTTTTTCTCTCCGGACTCTGCTGAAATTTCATTTCCGAATGAGAATCCCGTTCTAGAGAGGTTACCCGCAGCTCAAAATTTTCCCACAGCAACGGTTGGCCTTGCGCGTGTTTAAGAAATGCCTTCGAATTAAGTTCAGCTGACCCACGTAGAATCGGGGGAGCGCATCTCGCGTTTTTCAGCGGCATTGTGATTATGCGTGTAACTGAAATATATTAGGCCAGGTTTGCTCCACCCGCTATCGCGCGCATTGCATGGTAGAGACGAACCACGGAATAGCAAGCATGACGTACTCCATTCACCACCTTTCTAGTAAATGTGCTATACCTCCTTATACTTTTTCTCTCCGGTGCATGGCAGCACCATGTTCTCCCTCGCTTTCTCCTCACCTCCAGTTCCCTCCCTCTTTCTTGTTGTGGGTTTATCATGATTATGACATCAACATCACAAAGTGTTGCCCTTCGCACTCTCTGGTTTGTGAGCAGTCGGTCCGGAGGTACCGGAACGACACAACACACACACCGACAAATCGACATAACAAAGTTCTGGTTTATACAGTGAAGTGATTTGCCGGAAAGTTTGCCGCTCTCGGTTCGGTCAACCCATATTTCCAGGCTGTACCTGTCTATATCTTGTGTGGGGCTACGTGAAGGGCACAAGTCGTCCACACCAATCTATTTGGAAGCACAATACCCCTAAAATTTTGATCCGAAAAATGCACCTCCGCTACTGCTTCTTCTAGTTCACAGTTCTGGCTTACCAGGGAATGCTCTCAACATCCCATAAAATTTTGGATGAATGAATACCCAAGCAGCTCGGTAGAGCAGAGAATATCATTTACAAATATGGAAACCAAAACTATCACGCTAACTTTCTAAGGAAGTTGTTAGCAGTCAAAGTTGGCAAGGAATGTAGTAGAAAAAAGTGAATTGCGACACCAAACAGACGCCAGATCACTACTGTCTCTAAAATGAACGTCGTATTCGTGATCAGGCCAGCTATTTACCCCTATGGGCAAAATTTCAGGAAAAAACACAAAAGAATGCCGATGCGATCGACAAGAGCCTTGGACCTTGCAAATTAAGCTGCCCAAGCTATATACTTTTTTCTTTCATAAGGCTGTTGTCTGGCGATCTCTAATCTGTAGCGCTCTCCTCTTCGCGCTTAGTCTCTCAATTCCCTTAACACAACCGATTAGGAAGGTGAGTGAGCCCTTAACCTAAGCGTTTTTGACGGTTTCTTTTCCTTTTTTCTTTACTGCCGGCTCCACTTCCCACCAATACATTCGCATTCGTGTACAAGAGTCACACACTCAATGTAATCCTGGGCATGCCTTCAAGCGGCCCATAGCTTGCGGACTGTTGACATACATAGTAGCTGTTTTGGTCTCCGTTTTTATAACAGCATTCATTACTCTCTTGATTTATGCCGGTCCCCATTCTAAGACCAATGGGAAGTTGTAAGCCCTCCCTGGTTCGATCCAGTGGATCATCCCTTCTAGGATTCCGCTGGGTTCTGTTCATCCGAGGAAGATGCTCGTTTTGTTTCTAAATTCCTTACCTTTTTGCAACCATAGAGGTTCTACTCGCCTAGTTCCATCTCTGTGCCGTCCTTCTCTCCTAGCTAAATGATTTGAAGATTCAGAGAAATTTCGAGTTTCTGTTTCTTTGCCATTTTTGGAACTGAAGTTTTTATGTGTCACGTTATACCATAGAAGTGCGCCCAGGATTAGGGAGAGGGAGCAAGGGGTGTAATTAAAGTAAATGCTATTAGTTAAAAGATCAGGGCCAGATCTGACGCGAAATCAAGAAGCTAATTGGCGGGTTTCATTTCTCGGGTTCTGGACCATTTCTCATGGTCTTGTATTCAACTGAGGACCAAGAATTCTACCTGAATTTGGACTGACTGCCCTCTAATCGTAAACTCCGCCTTTAAGATTTAGGAAGAGACCCTTCTTTTCCAAGCTGCTACTGGTGGATGACAATACGCCACCTTTGCGCCTGCGGCTGTCGAGTCCTGCTTGTCGTCATGAATACAACCCCAGGGTTCAATTGTAAGTTCCTTCAGTGTTTCCCAACGGTTTTTGAGTCCGGGATACATGTTCAACTTGTCCTGTTGAAAATTCAAATCGTTAGCGTTCTTTCAGTGATGTCCTAGAGGTTAAACTGTCAATATGCATCTTGAGATTCAAACAGTCCTGATTCATCATGGGGAAGTTCTCCATTCATATGATACACAAATACTCTACCTTGTTCAGCTTGTGAAGTAGCCGGCGGTATAGAAGAAATCTTGTATGGAACTGTCATTAATCCACAGTATACCATTATAACACGGATCATATCTCCACCTTCGCGCTGGTATTCTATAAAAGATTTTAAGAAGCTGTTGGAGCATTTTGAAAACTGGATTCAAGAAGAAGAAAACGCAAAATTTCTCCTTGTCCGTACTTCAATTGCTCTGCGATTCTCAATGCTTCGCTTGCAACGCGCTATCTCTGAAGAGACCAAGTAATCTGACTCTTGTTACTGGACGCGTTCAATGCATGGACAACTGCTTCCACATCCTTCCAAGCGTTTAGTACATACAGGCGGACAGCGTTGATTTCGCGCCCCTTTGGTGGCTCGAAGGTGCGCGACAAAGGCGCTCGATGCTCGCCCATACTGCAATCCACACGTTCCTCCGCAAGCCTCGCCTTCCGCGATCACTGTGAGAAGAGCGCAGCATCGCGGCGGCGGTTGAATTGGCCGATGTCAGACTTTGCGTTGGATGCGATGTTTGCCCAGCTTGCAGGGGAGCGACGGATCGGCTTGAGCGATGCGAGCGCGTGGAGATTCTGCACCCGAATACCGATAATTCGGCGTCGCCATCAACAAGGGTTCGGTAGCAATCTCGCTCGCTCGCCATCGCATTGAAGCGATCGTTCGTACGTCGCAGCTTGGTAGGCAAAATTCGTTCCAATTGCGCAAAGTTTGTTGTTCTAGCATCGGCCAGTGCGAGTGTAGTTCCTGGACTCGGGAGCAACTGCTGCCGATCGTGAGACTCGTAAACACGAAACGCTTGCTGTTCAGGTGGAATGCAGCAAATTGAGCGTCTTATTTGGGATGTGGTTCAGGAGTTCTGTTTCATATCTTTTCCAGAACCTGCTTTCAAGCCTCATACTTAGAAGCTCTTCCCACAGCCTTATTTCAATCCCGAGGCTTCTTTAATCTGAGTGGATGAGTCATTTCAACTGGAAAACAAGTATATTTTTCTAAACGTTCCAAACCGCACTATAGAATGATTGCCTAGGTGGTTATGTTATAGCCGTTTGAACTGGAGAACGTACTTTACATTCGCTGTTTGCTTCTTGAAGAACACTTGAACATGTAAAATGAATAACCTCATTACAACATGGTTATGGGTATTAAAGTTGAAACTGTCATCCTATTTCTTAAAATTTTTCTTGGTCCATTAATGGAGGATAGGAACGAATTTCGAAGAAAGGGAAAATTGCCTAGTGGGAGACAGATGAACCTCCTGAGGGTGGGGACGGCAGCGAAAAATTTGACCTCGGCGATCTGGCATGAGGTAAGCAAACCAGCCCTTTTGGCCTTTCTGCTGGGGCCGTACCCTGAATGTAGGGGAGGAGATAGGGTCCCCGAGCTCGACGGACTACTTGAACTCAGTCGGATAAGTCGGTACGGTAGGAGAGTCACGACGAAGTGGTGCAGCCAGGTCCAGCAGCTTCGAAAAAAGGGGCTGGTTTGCTTACCCCAGGACTAAGCCTTGGAGAGAGGGCGGACCTGCGCTCTCTCACAGGTCGGTCCTCTCCTTAAGGCTTAGTCCTGAGGCTTAGTCCCCCTAAGCATCAAATTGAGGCAGTTTGAAGGACCGAGTTTAAGTAGTCCGTAGGCCGTTGGGGGCACCATCCCCTCCCCAACATCAGCATACGGCCCCAGCAGAAACGCCAAACAGCTGGTCTGCTTACTTCATCTGGCATGGCTCACTCTTGGCGCTTTGGGTGGGGTACGCCCATCGATCTATCTACTCACTCGCCGCAGGTGTATACGTGGTGAGTGATTAGATAGCAGAGCGTAGTGCTGAAGAGGGCACAGAGATGAGAGTCGCATCAAAGCGTACATCAACGGCGAAAAAGGATCTCACTTCTCAGGTACTGTCCGTTCCTCATGACTTCCTACGTCCTTGCACCACTTTATAACACACGATTGGGGTTAGCCCTCTCGCAGGAAAATGGGTGAATGAAAGAGGGTTCAGTAATGAAGCTGGAGATGGAGAGTGGTCTGGAAAACATGAAGAGAGCAAATAGAGAACTCCCGATAACGCCCGAATACCAACCTCTTCTATTTCAGCCTCATTCCACTTTTGGATAGAGAGGGGGCATGTAGGACCAGTTGCACGAACCTAGCTGCACTCGCTACAGTGTCAATCACGTCGACCGCAATGCAACCGCTGGTCGCATTTGGCCCGCCAGAAGGCGGGGCTAGCGGCGGACGAAGGTGTGGATTGGGGGATGAACGAGCGTCTTGCGCCTTCGTCGCACACTCTCAAGTCATAAAAGGGTGAGCATCCTTATCCAGAGCGTGCCTTTGAGAATGGCCTCGGTGTAGGTGGACGAGAAAAGAGTTGATTAGTCGAACCACGCAGAAAGGGGTCCCTACCACACTGTCAGATCAAGGTAAAGGGCGTAAGCCATAGGGGTCACCCGCTACACCGAAACGCACTCTGTATTGACGCTAATGCAGGCAGTTTTCTGAAAAACAATAACAGTTTTAACATCTAACAGGCTTCTCAAGCTTTTCCTTTGCAATAGCACTTCCTTCTTACATTGATCAAGATTCTATTGCACTCTTCCACTGTATCTGCACAATCCTATTACGGTGGTCATGCTTCCCCGTACCCTCTCAGCATGAGAGCGTACCATCCACTATGCCGGACTTCATCTATTTCTCCAAAAGCCTCGCCCTTTACGTGCTTTCTGCTCCTCTCTGTTTCCCTTGCTGCTAAAATGTCGTCACCGGACTAATACACATGTTTCTATGGCGCGGTGACCTTTAAGCTGTCACCCTTTATAAGATCACTTCATCCGGGAGTATCGCACCTGGCTAATATCTCGCACCTATAGTGCGAAGATTTGGCTTCGTGCCATTACTTACTTGGATTAGAGCACAAGTCCATAGGTATCCAAGGACTCCTTGATCAATTCGCCATGTACAGCTCCAGCTATCGCAACTACGGCGATAATAATATTCATTCCAAAGAGAATATCCTCACGTCCTACCCACTGAAAATATGATATCTCGAGGAAGTCTTGAAACATTATTCTGGACCTGCAATTCTTATGAAGATGGAAGAAGAATTCCACGATTTTTTTTCTCCAATACTAGTTCGGAAATCCGAGAGTCATAAATACCACAGCTACGAATATCAACTGTAGAAATTCGACCGCCTCTATAGTCGAGTTTTCATGCTCTACAAAGAGAGTGTCTACGTGAAAGCCCTCTTGGACTTTCTGAGGCTCCTGTCTTTATTTATTTATTGGCGCTACGCCATACACGGGGCATTATGACGGCAGTGCATTCGAAACTGTGTAAAACATGTCTCTTTTGTTGAAATGGGACTAAGCGTCAGGCGGAGGCGGAGAGACTCCAGCGCCTGAGGCATTCTTATTTTCGCCATTTTTTGTGCCCCTACTAGGATCAGTCCCAGAGGAAGCCTCCATGTAGTGCGATAGCGCCTATTTATCCGTTTTATTTATTTTTTTATTCATCTATTTAGCTATTCATTTATCTATTTACCAGTTTTGCTCCGCCCGCTATCGCGCGCATCACACGGCAGGCTTTAGCGAAACTGAAAGACCCATGGAATATCAGCATGAGGTACTCCATTAACCACCTCACTATTGAATGTGTTAGACCTTTCCCAGTTTCGCTGAAGTCCATCGAGAATACGCGTGATAACGTCTGGAGCTGAACTGGCATATTTATCTCACAACTGTAAACATCCAGCATTTTTCTTGAATTCAGATAATTTAGCGGTGAATAGGATTGCTGTCAGTCTCAAAATAAAATGAAATATGCCTATTTACATAAGTGAGGAGCTAAGGCTTATCATTTATTTACATTCACCATTATTTAGAACCCCGAAAGGATTAGCGGTTTAATGAGTTGGGCTTTCTTGATAGAAATGAAAGTTATCATTTGCTGAAGACTTGATTGAGTTTATGCAATAGACTGCTATTAAGTAAGCTGGTCATACAATGATACAGTGTGCACGTACCACTACAAATAGAATTTGTAAGTAGGGGCGCTATAGCATCAGCGCTAGTGGGATCGACGGCTTTT